TTGTTTATAGTCACACCTCTATACAATCACCACATTAGAGTGTGACCAACTTGTGATTATACAGAGGTCTGACTGTATATTGTTTATCCATTATGGTTTGTATGAACTTTCATATAAACTTTTGTTGTTCAAACTTTCAAACATCTTTTTTTTTTACATACATGTTTTTGCTCGTGCTTGTTCTTGTTCACTCATTCTCACTCCCACTTGCAGCTCATTCTTGCTCTCTTTCACAGCTCATTCTTGCTCTCTCTTATAGCTTGTTCTTGTTCTCTCTCGAGCTTGTTCTCGCTCTCTCTTGCAGCTTGTTTTCACTCTCTCTTATAGCTTATTCTTCTTTACTATGCTTGACCTGATGTTTATCCTATTTATGGTAGGATTTGAAGATCTGTCAGACTGCTGGGGCAGAACTGAACCAGGTAGATATATTTTTTTTTTAATAGTTGGATTCTTTAATTACTGTTTATTGGAGGTCTTGGTACTTGTATGAAGGAACACTCTTGGTCAGCTACTTGACTAGTTGGTCTATTGATGTTTAGATTGACCATTTATCAGAGGTTGATTTCAAATATAGTTGCAGTAATTAAATAGAGTTTCTTGCCAACAAGGTCTACTAACTCTAAAGGGTGGGTTGGTTACATTTTCTTGTCATTGAAGAAACTTTTGTTTTGTAAAAAAATATTACTATTAGTTGCTTAAAGTTATTAATGATTAACTTCTCTTTAATAATAATAATCTGAAGTGCTATTATTAAAGCGAGTTAATAGGATACCCCATTATCAACTGCAGTTAACTTACAACTAAATATTTTTTAAACCCCCAATAATAATTCAAATAATAAAATGTCTACAGTATATAGTAATGAAAAGTTTATAGTATATTTAATGCTTTTTTGTGATATTTTTTTTTTATATATATATCTATTAAATACTATAGAAGCTCATTGACATAAATATCAATATTATATGTGACATATTAGTTACTACAATCAAAGACACATATAAAATTATAAGTTATTATTAATTCCTATTAATTATTATGAATTATTTTTATTACTATTATTAAATCAATTAATAAATATTAAGGTTTTTGAGAATTTTGAAAAAAAAAGCAAGGTGATCAATTTGTATAATAGTGAATAATTATATAGTTTGAATAAATACTAATATAAAATAAATTACTAGGTCTTTTAACTCAAATTCAAGATCTTGAAAATAAGTTAATTTTAACAAATAATTTAGAACAAAAAGTTCACAATCTTAAAATTCAAAATAATGAGCTTTTAAGAAAACTAAAAGCTATAAAAACTTAATTACAAATTATAAAGATCTTAGCAATCAATTTATTTGTAATAATTTTTCATAATTTTATTAATAAATAATATTTAATATCTGTTTTGCATTTAATCACATAATCTAGTATTAATATAACCTGTTATTAAGAATAACTGTCTATCAGCTGATCAGAAAATATCTAAATTGCACTAATATATAATATCAATATAAAACAAAAAAAACAACTTGGTTATCTATTATACAAATATGTATGTAACATTTTGTGTATCAAATAATTTTACAATAAATTAATAGATCTGATATGATAATAAAACTTCGATCATTTATTGCTACAATATGGTAAATATGAAATTTTGTAAAAGTGACTTGAGCAAATAATTGTAAATTAACTCAACCATTATTAGGCTGGTGCATTAAATAGAGC